TTCTTGATGTCATCCCACAACTCTTCTGGTCTTCGGTCTTTAGTGTTTAATTAATCAAATCTGTTCTTCAGATGATCTCTAAATTCAGGAGGGATAAATTCAAGATCATATTTTGGCTCTCGTAGATTTGGTTTCATTTTCTTCAGTTTTAATTTGAATTTGCATATCAGTAATTGATATTTATAATATATATATACATATATGTATATGCTGCAGCATAAGCACTTGAGTGCTAATAGCAAGGTTGGCGATTCAAATCCACCAGCCACTCCTTGGCAAGCCTATTCAGGGTTCCTATGAGTAAGAACTGACTCAGTGGCACTTAAAAACAACATATCTATATATAGGTATATATTACATAGTCATTATGTACATCACTACCAACATATATATAATGATGTACATAATGATAACCTTTATGTGGTTAAAAAAAATCTCTGACATAATTTGAAATTAATCTTCAGATTACTGTTATTTTCCATTCTAGGTAAGAGTTTTATTCAGGGAAGATATGCCTCTGCTCGAACACAGCTTCAACTCATTGCCTACATTTGTCTACCTGTCCTCATTATTACTACTGCTGTATTGATAAAGCAGACTAAATTAAGGAAGTTATATTATAGAGAGGAAAGTGACAGTGAGGGGTATGTATACATATATATACATTTTACTCTTATTAAATAAGTCAAGAAAAAATGTTTTCATATTTTATCATAAAACCCCTATTATGGATAAGACAATAATGAGGAGAGACCCAGGGATATATCACAGACTTGTTGGATGTATGTTGTATATTTATAGCTTATTCATTACTGAAACTTCCAAGTTTATCACTAATATTTCTACAGGAGGCTATAGGGCTACCAATGGGGTATTTAGACAGTCCAGTCATGTGGTCCAAATAAATAGTCATACTCTTCCCTAAAAATATAAATATCAAATTGTTTACTTACTTAATGAGAATCATTGATAATGCATTTCAAAAGAACTTACAAAAAATAAATGTACTAAATACAGAGTCTCAGAGAAGTAGTTAGCATGTTTATTATTATTAGAAAAACTTTCCTAGAGAAAATATCTATGAAATTGTCTGTACAATATTTATTTTCCTAAATATTGATATTTCTAATTTGTCAAGTGCTTCCTTAACTAGAAATTACATGTAGAGTTAATAATATTTATATCTTAATAAGATAAATAGATACAATTACAAGGAAGGTAGCATTATGTACTAGGAGGAAAATTCCATTTAGTTTCAGAAAACCTTGTTTTAAAGGTTCTAATCTTGCAAGTGGGAATCTTTGTATGGAGCTGTAGCATAAGCACTGGACGGCTAATGGAAAAGTCAGCAGTTTAAACCCACCAGTCTCTGTTTGGAAACACTACAAAGGGTCATTAAGAGTTGGAACTGACTTGATGTCACAACAACAACAATCTTGCATGTAAAACTGTGCAAGCAATTACATTTATTTGCAATTCAAATTAATCTCTGTGTGTATTTATATAAAATTGGAGCTATTAATAGCTTTCTAACATGCCAACAATCTGAAGGTTCAGTTACCAAAAGATTTAAACATCATAAATTGCTGCTTTTTTTTTGGCCACAGAATTAATTACCTCTAGATTTATCTTATAAAAATTGATTGGAAGAGAAAACATGCATATATTTTCTGAGATCAAGAAAGAAATATATAGTAAAATTAACTGAAATTTTTCAGGTTTACTTTGTTGTCAAGAAATCAAGCACATACAGCATTGATCAAGTCTGTTACAAAAGATTTCTTTTAAGTGTTAGAAAGCAAAGATGTCAGCTTAAAGACTAAGTTGTGCCTGACCCAAGCTATGAAATTTTCTTTCTTTCCTTTTTTTAGAAACTAGCAATGTTTCTCCATTTAACTGTTGGAATTAAGATATACATAATAAGCCTCCCAACAAAGATAATGAAAGACCCTTTCTGCTTCGGGCAAGCAGCTATATGATAAGCAAATGAACAAGCTGACTTCTCTGTACCACACCAGCAAAGTCAGCTTTCTCCATAGCCAAGTGCACCTGCTCCCCCCGCTTCCTGTTAACAGCAGTAGACCTCCTGTAGGTCTAACACAGGGTTTTTCTGTAGGTCATGCTAACCTACCTAGAAATGCTAAAAATATGTTGTTAATGGAATCCAGGTGTTGAGAGAAAAAAAAATCTATTAAAAGATGCCATCTGAGGTGATGCCTGCTTTGTGTATATTCCATAACCCAGTATCTAATAAACAAGTTATTAGAAAATGTTCAAGTATGATGGGTTTTCCTCTTCCTCACCAAAAGCTCTGCTCTTTGAAGGGAACGGGTTTCCTTGTAGCTAATCCTGCAGTTAAGAAAGCTTATTGGACATGGTTTTGAAAATAATGCAAAGTTAAAACCATGGGAAGCATTATTGTGCAGTGCAGAGCACTCAATCTTTCTTATAAAGACCACAAAAAAAAAAAAAAAAAAAGAAAGAAAGAAAAAGTGTGCAACCTACAGACCACTAGGTACTAACCTGTGACTTCTTTGTATGACAGTGCAGGGGTGTTAAGTGTCTGTTTTTCTAGAGTTAAGTCTTGGTAAGATTTAAGCCATCGAATTTTTGCATGTTTCCTATGGATGTATAAGTTGAACAATGAATAAGAAAGACTAAAGAATTAATATCTTTGAATTATGGTTTTGGTGAAGAATATTGAATAAACCATGAACTGCTAAAAGAATGAACAAATATGCCTAAAAGAGAAGTACAGCATTATGTTCCTTAAAAGTGAGGATGGGGGCATTTTGTTTCACATACTTTGTACGTATTATCAGGAGGTAAGTTTCCTAGAGAAAGGCATCAGGATTTGTAAACTAGGGGGCTAGCAAAAAAGAGGATGACCTCTAACAATATGAATCAACACAGTGACTACAACAATGAGTTCAAATAGCAAAATTGTGAGGATAAGGGAGGGCCAGACAGTGTTTCATTCTGCTATGCTTTGCGTCAGAACTAACACAACAGCACCTAACAAGAATACTTCGATGTTTTGATGCAATTTGGCCTAGTGATTAGACAAATCATTTCTAAGGATCAATTGTACAGATAGAAGTTTGTAACATAAATGCTGTAACAAACTTTAAAATATGATGAGAGAAGTCAATCAACAAACCAAGGCTGATGACATTTTAATATTGAAATCGTGAACATGTTTGTTTTGTTTTATTCTGTTTGTTGGAAATAGACATTTCATTTGTTTGAATTACTGTTTCTTTGAAAAAGATTCTTAATTCAAATAATTATTAATTGTTAGAAAATTTAGACTTCCTCCACTTAAAACAAAATGTTATCAATTTTGTAGGTCTGTGACAGAAGAAAACAGCAGTAGCAGCAAGGTATCCCTCAGTGCAAGGTGAGCATCAACTATCCATCACTGGAATGAAACAATGAGATTTATAATTTTGCATTGTGTTTTCATCTTCATTTAGAAGCACTTAACAATTTTTATTTTTCATCCAAAACATTTCCTCATATGTTCTTTATCATTCTTACTGTAGTTCATGTCTACAACAATACACCATAAGCTTGACTTTGTAGGGTCTTGCCATCTCCTGTTTGAATTACACTGAAGGAGGTTTTCAGTGTGCTCAAAGTAGTATTGATGGGTACATTAATTATAGGATTATTCTGAATAATGGAAAGTAGCTTTTATATTTTATTATTTCTTACTATCACGTGAAAAGAGGACCGATATTCTAAAGGTTTCCATAGTTATCTAAAGTTATGCTAGTCTATTATTTTGCCATTGCGATTAAGGTGTTTTGTTGTTAATTACCATTGAGTCAGGTCTGAGTCATAGCGACCCTGTATAGGGTTTCTAAGGAGTGGCTGATGAGTTTGGGCCACTGACCTTACTGTTCAAACCTACCTTGTGGCTGAGTACGTATCCTACAGTGCCACACTAGAACTAGATAGGGCCTTGGCATTCTTATTTATTTTATGGTCTTAATTCATAACAGGAAATTTTATTTAGAAGTCAAAGTCTGAGAGAATAAAATACTTACAAAGATTTATGAAACTATATATCCCTCCCCTTAATATTAGCATTGTAATATAGTAGCATAAGAAGTCTGCTAAATTTAGTAGGAGGGAGAATTGCCATCACCACAAAGCTGATTCCTATGAGATGATGAAGGTCAGACATACTGTCACTCTCCAATTATTTCACCATTTCTGAAAACATTCTTCCTCCTCATTGCATTCTTTACTCCTCTGCTGAGTACAGTAATTTGTTGCAATGACCATACAAAATTCACAGACTATATCATGAGTATGTAGTTTATCAGGGAAATAACAGGCTACCACTCAAGATCAGGATCAACTTGAAAGTAACAGAATACAACTCAGGTAACAGTATACAATTTTTCAATCAAGACAGCTTCCAATGAAGATAGCGCTCAGTTTCTTCATGGCTACATCTGCAAATAGGACCTCTCTCTTGGGCTTGCTGCCATAAGGCCCTGGTTAGACCAGTGTTGCAACTCTTTAACTCATCTATCATCTAACTAATTTCTAGAGGCATTCCACTCTGATGAAAAGCCTCCTGTCCAAAGGCACTCAATTCTCTCACTCCATGAGTAGGTAAGCCACCTCACACTGGTCTTCTGGTTCCCACAATTCATGCCACTGCTACCTGTGCTGTTGTCCTACTGTCTTGTACCATAGCCTATCTCACTGTCTTCAGTGTTATAGTTTTATCTCTAAGAAGTTGTCAACACAGGGACTCTGCTGTATACTCTTCCTTTTGATGGCAGTGAGATAGCCCCCTTAATCTTTATATGATTAGTTCTTTTTAAGCCTACTCTTCCCACCAGCACTGGATTGCTAATCACAAGGTTGGCAGTTCAAACCCACCTGTCACTCCTTGGAAACCCTAAACAGGGTCTCTATGAATTGGAACTGACTCAACAAAACTTAACAACAATAACTTTCCACAAAGACTATAAGCTGAGTTGACCAATCCTTTTAGTAGGTCCTAATTTGTATAGCAATTGACCAATACATACAAAGATTCTTTATACCTTATTTGCATATCAAACTTTCCCATCCCTCCAAGGTAGTGGCTTAACATCTATGCAGAACTGCAAACTCAGGGCCAGAAAGGCCATATGTAGAAAGAAACCCATTGCATTGCAAGTAAACAAGGGGAATTCAAAAAGTTCGTGGAAAAAATGAAATGGAAAGATAATGAGCTTTTTTCATGAATTTATTTTTTAAGTTTTTAATATGAATTGAGTGATAGTTTTTACATGGGAGAACATTGGTTTTGCACTCATCCTATTGTATTTCATTTCATTCCAATGATTAAAATCCTTCTGTACATCATCATTCAACAATATATATATATATATATATATATATTTTGTGTGTGTGTATACACAAAAACACTCGTGAATATATAATCATTTAAACAACCAAAGAGCACATTCTGCAAGTCTGCCTCCTGGCCGCCAGCACACTGCCTTTCTCTTTCCATGAACCTAGATTCCTCAAATGCTCTGTCTGTCCATATCATCATCTCTGCCTCCATCTCTGTTGTTGCTGCTGCTTCTCTGCATAGGGTCCCACATTCCACTCATGCTCCTTTCCCTTGATGGTCCTAGGATCCTCTGTTCCTGAAATTTAAGATTAACTACTTCCCCCTTTATGTTAGAAACCGTTTCCTTTATAGTTGTGACAATCGCAATTAGTCATGATAAATCATAAGAATCTTATCCTCATCTTTCACCAGACATGTCTAGACATGATAAAAACAATTCAGTGGGGATTATACCTTCCCCTGCACACTCTGAAACTAAACTCCCTCTTGAAAACTTGTAAGGCAGCCACTTTGTTCCTTTATACACCCCTCCCTCCCCAACATTTTAGGTAGCCAGTGTCTTAAGTTGCCCATCCCTATTAACTCTGTGTACAGAGGAGATAGGTTTGATCCTTGATGTGAAGACTCCTTCCCTCTCACTTGGTATTTTGAGCTACTACATCCATAAGTATAAGTCAAGGTCATCAAATTGTAGCAATTTACCCTTGTTTCCTTTATTTCTGTATCTTCGTCTTGTTGAGTTCTGATCATCAAACCATTGAAACTAGGTCACATGGGTACCATCTGCAGGTTTGGGTGTTCTTGCGTGTCTCCCCTCATTTCATATCAGCTGGATGCTTCATTCTCAGCTATAGCTGTCCATGACTAGGTCCTTGTCATTGGGCTCAGGAGTCCCCAGGTGTCACCTCACCATGGAACAACCAGCACTTTCTCTTCTCTCTCCCTTCTCCAGGTGGATGGGAGCCATGAACATTTAAAGTCCCCTCAGATAAAAACGTACTTTACTAAGTAATGGATAAAATATAAAAGGAGAGAATAGGAAGCCCAAATCAGTGAGACTGAAGATAAATATTTCAATACTAGTAAGCTAGAAGAACAATAAAAAAACCATAAGGTTTATGTGGGATACTATGAAGATAAATGGTGTGGTGCTGTAGGATAAGCACTGGACTGCAAAGTTTGTTTGAACTTCAAGGTCAGTCGTTCAAACTCACCAGCTGCTTCTTTGAAACCCTACACAGGGTTGCTATGAGTTGGAACTGGCATGAAGTCACTTAAAGAAGTAACTTTCAGAACAGGAAGAGACAATAAAATACACAGAGAAAATTATTGAAGAAGTGCTGGAAGAAAACTTCTCTAACATCATGAAAAATGAGAAGACACATGTTCAAGAAACCAAAAGTACACCAAAGAAGATAGACCCCTATAAGAAAATCATTGAGACAAATCATAACCAAACTTGCCAAAATCAAAGACAAGGAAAGACTCCTGAGAGCAGTTCAGGAAGAATGAAAAGTTACCTATAAAGGAGAACCAATAAGACTAAGCTCTGATTTCTAAGCAGAAAACATACAATCAAGAAAACAATGGAAGTACATATACAAAACTCTGAAAGAAAGAAATGCTAACCAAGAATCATATAACCAGCAAAGCTGTCCCTAAAATACAATGGCAAATTAGGGATATTTGCATATATACAGAAATTCAGGGAATTTGTAATAAGCAGACTAAATTTACAAGAAATGCAGGAGTTTTTTCAGATTGAGAACCATGAAGAACAGAAAAGAATTTGAGATAAACATAACAAAACCACCAAAAACTCAGTTCAGAAATAGAAGTATTTAAAGTAAACATATCAACAAGACTGAAAATAGGGAACCAGAGATACAATTTTTAATGGTGAAAACCATAAAGCAAAAAAGAGAATAGTGTAGCTATAGAACTTCTGAAAGAGGAGGAAGTCAAGTACATTTCCAGATAAAGCAGACTGTTTTAAACTGGGGAAGAAGTTAATAAATCACAGGGCAATCTCAACGACAATTAATACACCTTCACATCACAAAAAAATAAAAGAAAAATAAGAAATATTTAATAAACATTAAAAGCAAAGAAGCTCTGGTAGCGTAGTGGTTACAGATTAGGCTAAAACCTCAAGGTCAGCAGTTCAAAACTACCAGCTGTTTTGTGGGAGAAAGATGAGGCTTTCTGCTCCCATAAAGATTTATAGCCTCAGAAACCCTGTACAGGGTTGCTATGAATCGGAACCGACTCCACAGCACATAACAACAAAGCAACAGAAACAAATAAAATGCAAAGAAAACCCACAAACAAAATGAACTCAGTGTATAAAATTACATGTAACAAATAAACCTGCAACACCAAAAATAAGCATACAGCAAAATAACAGCAATTAATTCATATCTATTGATAATTGTTCAAACATGCAATTAAGATGTATTGATAATTACTGGTAACTGGGATGTAAAGGTTGGAAATAAAGAGGAAGGATCAGTAGTTGGAAATATGGCCTTGGTGATAGAAATTGATGCTGGAGATTGCATGATAGAATTCTGCAAGGCCAATGATTTGTTCACTTAAAATACCGTTTTTAAAAAGCATAAAAGATGACTATACAACTCACTATATAGATGGAATACTCATAAATCAAATATCCACTATAGCTGTGGAAAGAAATGGTGGAAAAGCTGCATTATCATAAGCCAATCCAAGGCTAGGGGAAGATTGTGGAACAGACCATCCATGACTCATATGCGAATTCAGACTGAAGCTGAAAAAAAATGAAAACAAGTCCCCAGGTGCCAAAATATGACCTTGAATATATCCCACTTGAATTTAGAGATCATTTGAAGAATAAATTTGATAAATTAGACGCTACCGACCAAAGACCAAAGGAGTTGTGGGATGACATCAAGAACATCATACAGGAAGAAAGCAAAAGGTCATTAAGAAGACAAGAAAGAAGGAAAAGACCAAAATGGATGTCAGAAGAGACTCTGAAACTTGCTCTCCAG